ATTGAAGAAAATCGGGATTACATCGGCACATTCGTAAACCCAGGTCCACCACAGTCACATCGACCATCATTGTCGAAAAATTAACTTTTTATATTACATATATGATGCTCTCGACTCTTACTCATATTCCAATTAAATGATTTTTCTGACGGGTGGACAAGAAGCGCGTACGCTCTTATTATGCGTGATTAGGCAACTCAAATGCGCATAAACGCTTTAATATCAGCGAGACCATGAAGTAAATACATTTCACCATACAACCGCACGTAAGTGACCATACTTGCGCTTTTCGAAGGAGCTTATAACATCTAGCGATACATGCTAATGCGCCATATAGATCTTGACGATATTAATATACAGGCTAGCTACTCGAAATAAAGGGATGTTTCTGTCTTTTGTTTACGGAGTAACGCTTGATGCTTCGTTTAAGAGTGCGCACCCGTATTTCTTTTTTTGGTAAGAACGGAAAGCATTTTGGCATCTGCAGTCGTGCCTTGGACTCATCCAACCACAAATGACTCATAATGCAAAACTCCGCCAGGCGTGTGTTCACTACTTCCCGTGTCCAGCTACACAAAACAATTTACATGAGATGGGCATAAAAACTTCGATTAGCTATATAGGCGCAACCTAATGAGCCTCAGAAAGGTAATTGACTTGATCATCCTTACAGGATGTCAGAAATTACTGATCCATGCACAAGTTGACTCTGAGAACTATCATGTGTCGCTGGTATAACTCATCATGTTTTCAGATAAATGCTTGAGCTCACTCATCAACTCAAATCTTAGAACAGGTAACTACTCGACGTTTAAGCTTGCTCAATAGACTGCAAGGTAAGCATTATTAACCTTAAATAACCAAAAATCGGACCTTGTAATTCAGCTAAATTGCAAACTTTCTAGTCCTGGTTTAACGGACAACAAAAATCTATATTCAAGTTAACAATAGTAAAAAAGCGCACATATATCCATTGTAAGCATCTAGATTAGACGACCTAATAAATTTATAATAGGGCATTTACCACATCTAAAATTGTGAACCGATGTTTTTACACCAATATATACATTAGGATGAGACCTGTTTAGGATGTTAAATGTGATGTTTTCTCAAAGAACATAATAAAACCTATTACGTATCTTTTTGTAGGCCAAAACGCCAAACCCCGCAACTCGTATTCAAATTATATTGTTTTACCTAGTTGGCATATCAGGGGGGGGAAAGGTACCCATACAGTGGATTCACGATAACATTGTACACCGTCACATCCCAGATCACGTCAGAAATTTAGCACGGTAACCCGCCAGCGCCTCTACTAATACGTATCTTTGTTGGCGTCCTTCCGAATTTATTGATCAGAAACTCAACAAGAGGGTATCGGTTTGCCCCGGTAAGCCGAACGACGCCACCTCAATCAGCTATTGTAGCCGAATATGCCATATCTGTGAAAACGCGAACGAATCTCGCCAACTCTTTTGGTAATCAGGTAACTTAGACTTATCTTTTTTCCATCATATTAATAAAAAATGGCAATAATATTTTCGCTAGCACGGCAGTATCTTTGACTACGTGGCACGTAATTAAGATCGTGTTGCTAATCTGTATATTCGTCACACAAAGTTTAAAGTTGGCACTGGCGATCTCTCTAACACAATTCTGATCCAGGCACATCCGAACCGCTGCCGAAAATTATCGGCAGAAAATTATGTAGCTACGATTGTGCAACACCGCGTATCGACTTTTGACTCTGTCGCTCAAATTTTATATAATATCATTTGACTTACCTCTTGAAGCCGAGCACGCATTACCTGCCATGTGGGATCAATATATATGGGATTACAACGATGGCATCAAAGAAAAGCTGCATAATATTATTTGTAAGATGCTAGTGACACTGATCAAGGTAATGGGCATGGGTCCGAAATCTTTTCTTGTGACAATTAATGTGGGCGGATGCATCGCAACTTATTAAATTTTACCGACAAAGCAGATTGATATTCGGGAACGTATTTCACACGAAAATATTAAGATCAAGTCTTCTAAAGCAACTAGGGTATCTTGTCAGCAGCCATCTTGCAATTTTGCTTCTATACTTCGCATTTTTAAAACAATATTTGTTGACGATCATTAGGTAAGTGTTGTGTTCTTACCGGTATACAACCGAACGGAATTGCCGAGAAATAACGGACATAATGACTTTTTATATACCCCTCAAAGTTGGTAGAAGGAGACGGTTACTAGTTTTAAAGTAGCTTCCTTGCATCCCTCGCATGCATGACTCCGCAGTTTGGCCAGTCGTGTTTACAATTTATAAGATCGAACTTTGACTGGAGCGTGATTTAACATATAAAAGACAATAATGTGATGACTCTCATACACAGCGAGTATAATCGGGAAGCTTCTTACACTCCACCGTATCTTTTGCGAAACGTACTAGTCCAATGGAATACATGTTGTGCTTTATCTACTACATGGGTCGTCATTTACAAGTGGAAGGCACTCGATAAGGTATTACAGCTTTATATATCAACAAATATATACCCTCGCCTGATACAGAGCAAGAGTAAAAGATGAAAGCCAAACGGGCGATTCGACATTACAAGGACAAACCGCTTTTATACAATTTACATTTGACGCACATAAAAACGAAATTTTAAGGGTCAGGTACCGATAATGCGAGCTCCAACGGAAATATAAATCTGACACATGAAAATGACAAGGTGTATTGTTTCGCAAAAAACGAATTACGAAGTAAATAAATCCTGAAGCACTCCACTAATATGATGCACGCATGTATTTGACAGAATTAATAGTGTTTTCAGCGCACCCAAACCATTATTGATTCATATATAGTTTTTGAAGGCAACACACGGCATCATATATTGACGGCGATCGAGGGCCATATGTTTTTATGAAGTGAATCAGCTTCAGAAAGTCCTCCCCCAGCATTATGTGGATTTTTGAGAGCGATAGGCGTGTCATATATTGTGTCAGCGATCAGTTAGCGAAGAATGGTAGCCTATCATTAGTACCACATAATTGGTTCTTAATTCTACTATGAATGAATTACAAATTCGCAACAGAGTGGCTCAGCTAATATCGCATTATTATAGATCAAATCAATGTTGTATAGCATAAGACCCGGTGCGCGCCAAATCTAGATACGAGCCAGCACTAATTCTAAGACTACCAGCGCACGCCCTCTAGGTAAAAGCGGTGAGTCGTTGCACTCAGGCATGGTCACCGCAGTAATGAACAAAACACTCAATGGCTATATGCGCCATCCATGGGGTAAAAGTTTATATAATCTTCACTACGGGGGATGATAGAGGACGAATTCCAAGATGATACAGCCTAAAGTGGTTGCTTCGCATATAATCATCTCAGTGCCAATTCTCGTAGGAGAATATTTTCGATATGGGTGGAACGACTACCCGCGGGTCAGCTCAGATTAATCATTAGCACACTACGATAATTTATGAACCGTACAGATATCTGTGCGGTCGCGATCTGAAAACTTCGCGCAACCTGCGCACCGCTCTGTTTAACTTATCATCATGCGTGCATATACATGTCTCTCTGATAACTTTCCCTAGCTAACAAAATCCCTTCCCTCTATTTTAGGATTAGGCGTTCACTGAGATCGTTTTAAGTTCGTTCAATAATTGTTATACATAACTTACAACTCATATCGAAGGGTCCAGAAAAAGCTTAAAGAGGAAAGATTGAACTAAATGTAGGGATGGATTCTTATTTAAGCATTGCATCGTGGTGCTTAATGTGGGGCTGGACGTCGAATGTCACCATGCAGGCATCTGAATAGCTAGAACTTAGAACGGTGAATTTCTTGGGCCAGAACAAGAAGGCAACAGGTACAACTTAAAAATGTGATCTACTCAAACTTAATCAATCTGTCTGCAACTGCCTTTTTCTCCCGTACAACTCCTTCTGTCCCATCTCCGCTTCCTGCACTTCGTCCAGATCCCTTGATCACTTAGCTCTGACCAAAAACTATCTTCTTCTTCGGCAGGGATAGTAGCTCCTCTAAAGCCAAAAGATTGCGGGGCGACAGAGGATTAAGCTTGTAATCTAGGTCCTGATTTAGACTTCTCTCTTTCTACTCGATTTCGTTATCTCCATCCATGCCCTTCATTTCCTAACTTGACATGATAGAGTGGCAGATTTTTCAAAGATCCCGGTTTGGTTGAAGCTGCTTTTAATCGTGCTGGCCGAAATATCTGTCCAGGCAAAAAGGGACCAGATCAGGGCTATAAGCTGTTCATATTTGTGAACAATATCAATCTCCTCTTGTTTGTCGCGATCCAAAGCATGTTGGCGATGGTAGCACCGATTGCGTCTTTATGAAACGGTGATAAAGCCTACATTAATTAATTGGAATTTGCGGTTGTGTTGGGCGTAAGAATCTGAATTCTGACGTTTATCAGATGCAGTTCTAATACAATGTGGATAAACGCATTGTCTTTTGAAAGGAAATATTTTTGTTATTTATCTGAAAATACTTGTCAAAACTTTAAAATTAAATATGTTTAAAAGTAGTAATAAAAGGCTGCAACAATATTTTCATAGCTTTTTTAACAACGAGAATTCATTCCTGAATTAGCTGCCCAGTCATCCTTTTTTCACGTTGTGTCTATACTGTAATCTCAACAGTTTATCTGTATTCTTGTTAAAACACCGCGGTTCGTCTGTCTGGTCGATGAAGATGGCTGGAAATAATCGGACCCACCGTCATTTGTGGTAAAAGCTACAGTGTTGCGTAGCTGCATAAAATGTGCCAGCAGATAATTTTAAATTCGAAATATAAATACAAATGAAGAGTTTTGGCAGTGTATTTTTCGTGCGTTTCGACCACTGACTGGGCGATCGTACTATCCGGTTCCAATATATAACGATTCTGTCTAAGCTATATCAGCAAGCTGTCCCATTATAGCCGATAGAAGGCACAAACAAACGAGTCTCATCCGTGTTGCTCATATAACATGGAAGTAATGCGATTGTATATTTCTTCAGCTCATATATGGCCTCGTTCAAAGATTCCATATTAATCGATCCCTTTTCCCATGGATGCGGATTGTAAGGTGATTGTGACGTTGCTAAACTTTTCGAGTCACCAGTAAAGCTGCTAGGGACTGCGGCGCAGGTGACTACGCTGATACTGAAGACTCGGCCCGAGTTTTTTGAACGCAGTGCGCCTCAAGTATTGCTCGCGGCTCGTACAGCGCTTGAGCGTCGTCTGCACGAGCTACAGGCAGTCGAAGACAGCGATGAGGTGCGCTGGCAGCCGACGTACCATATGTGCGTGACGGTCACCGCTTTCAGCGACCATCTTGCTGGTCCATACGAAGCGTGGTTGGAAGAAGACAAGCCAACGACGAGCTTTTTGGATGCCGTAGTGCTACCGCTGCTACAGTACCCCCACGCATGGGTGCGTCTTGGTGCCGCCCGGCTACTAACGTCGTACTTGCGTCGCCGCCTAGCAAGTACGCTTGCGTATGCAGCCCCGGTAAAACGTCTGCCGAGGGACGTCGTCGAGCGCTTGTGCAATGGTGCAGCCTACCTGCAGCGCCCTGGTCGTCTGTTTGCTTGGGCCAGTGCGTTTTGCAAGTTGCTGGAAGCCCCGACACTGAGTGATGAAGTGGCAAGCGAAGTGCTCATAGCACTACCGTTCTTGTGTGAAGCACTTGAGACCACTGACATTCCACAGGACGTGACTGCTGCAGTAGCTGCTGACACGGGTGTGACCGAGGAGGAAGATGCAGACCCAACTGTCGAACCTGAAGGAGAGGGCGAGGGCGTCAAGTCAGACGACAGCGCTGCAAGCAAAGCGAATGAAGGCGACGACGACGAGGAGTTGCAGCGTCGGGAAGCGCAAGAAAAGCACGATGAGCAAATGAAGGCCCGTACGCCGATGGGCTGGTTGCTCACTCGACTGTCGTACATGGCTCGTGGCTCGCACTGCAGCAACGAAGTGCAAGTTGTCGTGTACAAGGTGTTTGCAGCACTGCTGCACCGCCACGACGCTGCGTTCGCCAAAAAGTACGTGGTGCAACTCATTAACCCGCTGTTCCGCTCAACGAGCAGGCTGGAAGAGCTCCAGATCCAACGAGAGCAAGAATTACTTCAGCTGCAGCGGACTCGCTACAAGGGTCGAGCAAGTGGTGCATCGCTGGCGTCTACGACCCCTTCAGAGAGCGCACTGCTGGCACAAGAGGTACTGCAGCTGTTGGAGCAAAAGCTAGGAGCGGCGCCATTCTTGGAGGCGTACGCGTTTGTGCAGCGGAAACTGGCCGCCCGTCGCGTTGCACGCAAACTTGAGCGTCGAGCCGAAGCCGTGTCCGACCCTTGTCACGCTGCTCAGCGACGCATGCAGAAGAACGAGCAGAAACGGCGTTCAAAGCAACTGCGCAAGCGCAAACACGCGGTACTGAAAGGGTCGACGTCAGCAGCCGTGCGCCCGACAAAGGTGCTTCGTCCTGGTGCCGAGTAGAACTTGCCATACATTGCTGCTGCTGCTGCTGGTGGCACTTACCGATAGAGACTATTGCATGATCACCACGTATGTTTGACAGGCGTAGAGCCGGAAATTGTACACCACTTCAACATCTCGTGTCAAGTGCTCAGCTCAAACACAAGTTGACATCAAGTGCCATGCACCACTTGGTGACCTGGACCAGGAAACCATTCGTTGACGTGCTCACGTCACGACTAGCTGGGATACCTTGACCGCCATATGGCGCACGGACAAACAGCTGCAGAGGATGAGACCGTTGCTTTGACGTTTGGGCAACTGCATTAGCGTTAGTTTCTTCGGTCCGCGATACGAATCATCTGCATGTCTAGTCCGCTAGCAACGATAGTGTGGAAGAGCGTTATTAGACAATACCAGAACAATAGTTGACAGACCCACCTGCGCAAGTGGTCAGCAGCTACTGCGGAGCTCAGCTCATAGTTGACATAGTCGTGCATCCATAGCTAGATGAAGAACTTCGTGTTGCTCATCACTTGATGTCCCACATCAAGCAAGTTGGTGCTTTACCGACCTGCAGTGCGATGCATGACACTTCTTTGCGTGTTGGACGTCCGTTCGTGATTCGAATGAGCTGGAACAACGCAATGGGCGGAGTGTTGCAATCGCTACAAAACCATACAGCTGCTGTCGTTTGGTGTGCCACTACGCGGCGTAACGGGAATCGTCTGATTGAGGTGCACTATTGACAAGAGCCAGAGCGACGACATTGTGTTTGATGGTGACGTGAGCAGAGAGCACTGGGCGCCTTCGTTCGAAAAGGGTCCGGGAGCGAGTGCGGGGTCCAGTAATGCGCGTAGGATCCGACTGTAGCTTTGGAACGTCTGGCAAAACAGCCATATCTCGAGTTCGTAGCATGATGGAGCGGACTGGAGCGAAAGCGCAATACCACGTGGAGACTCGGACGTAGCACGTCCTTTTCCCAACACGAGAAGCCGCTGGAAATGGGCTTGTCGACATGGAGACAAGGGAATTCAGCCGTAAGAGCACAAGAGAGAGAGAGAGAGAGGGAAGAGCTGGAGGTGCTGAGATCGGGATGGTGATGCGACGACGAGATCGATGAGCATGCATAAAAAGGCAAGAAAACAAGAGCCTGCGACTGCAGCTGTACCTCAAGACGCCATGGGTCTATCGTCCGTCCGCCCGAGTACGTGTGATTGTGTGCGTGTTGCTTGCTCCGCCGTAGTCATTAGCTTCCCGCGTCCACTATCCCCAAACGGATTGTATTCCCTGTCGTCCACAAATTCGCACCGACTGTCTTGTCGTACGTACTTCATCGCCTTCGCCACGTACTTCAAAGTCTTCTCGTTTCGTGCATGGGTGACGTGCACTCACCGCCCGTTGGCCTCGTCTCTACACTTGAAATGCTCAAGAACGATGGGCACAGCGCTAAGCCGTTACAATCGATTGTCGAGTTATCGATAATTAATTGCATCGTCATATGCTAGAGTGGGTTTAATGTACACGGTTGCAGGAACCGGTTCGATTCTACATTTGAACAGATGGAGTTGGTGCGATGGGCCGCATATGCCTGCGATAAAAGATCTGCAAGATGTGGGTCGTCTCTAGCGGGGCATAGCTTCGACACAGGCTGGCCAGGGCCACCAACTTGTAACAATGCAAGGTCCTTACGGGACGACTCGAACGACTACACGATACATGCGTACGGTTCCAGTGCACCATATTGCAGAAGACCACTTATAAGGATAGACTGCCGATTAGCGAGACTATGATCGACATTAATCCCGGATCTATCTACCTCCTATACACAATCGTTGATATAAAGTGTGCGTGCTTGTCGAGTGCTGGGCCAACAAGTAGCCCTTCTCTTCCTCCTTCTCACTTCACATTTTGCTTCCTAGTGCTTAAGCCCTCATCAGTTTCTTCATCACGGTACAACGATGCAGCGCCAATTCCTCCTCGTTGTGGCCCTAGTTATTCTTGCGCGCAGCAAAGCAGTCGCAAATAGCGCCGCGTCCGATCGACTTGTGCGGTCGTCGAATGCGACAACTCACCACTCTCCGCTGCCATCTTTCACGTTCGACAACTTGGCTGCAAAAGGCTTTCGCAAAGAGCAGTCGCGTCGATACTACAAGGATGAGAACGAGGAATCAGCGGTATTCGATACCGCTGACGAGGCGCGAACGAAGCCCATCTCGCCGGCGCTTTCCAAGCTCGTGAGCAGCAAACCAAGCTTTGGATCCATTGGCGACAGGGCAGCTAAGGTCGTCCGCCGTATTGCAGACGCGAAGGGCCAGTATAGGGTTCTAGGTGTGCGCAAAACTGTCAAAAAACTTCCGGCTGCGAAAGCCGCAATTGATCGGAAAATAGCCGTTCGAGCCGCGAAGAATAAAGCCGCTCAAGTCGCTCGAGCCGCTGAAAAAAAAGTCGCCCATGGCGAGAAAGTTGGAACGAGCGCTATGAACCCCAACCTTGATAGAGGTAAGGTAGTCAATGTGCGTTATCCATCCATTAACCGATCCAAGGTTGAAAGATTCAACTCAAAGCTAGGGAAAGAGTTCGCCACGAACCCACGCAACAATAAGCTCAAAAGAGAAGGAACATCTTTCGACGACGCGTTTTGGCACGGAAGACTCAAAAGTGAGAAGAGCCATCGCGAGTATCGAGATTACTTGGTCAAGAAATGGAAAGCTGCACAGGGTCAAAAGTAGACACATTCGTACGTGGACATTCGGTAAGACAGCTCGGCTTCCTCGCTATCGATCACGGTGACTCGAAATTAGCGATAACAGCATATTTTCGATAATGCAATACACCTCGTTGATCCATGTTTCGCGTTCGCAGATATCGTAGCATCGTGTTGTTGCCGCGTTCGGTTTTGTGGCGATGTGGCACGTCATGTTCATAGTCTCCATTGTCGTGATCTTACGACTGTTCGACATCTTAGAGCCAATGCCATTCGTCGTGACAATGGTAATCACCTATGCACGTGATCGGTGTGAGCACGAAAGACGAACTTGCTGCCAACTATGCATTGTCTAGATTAATGCTTAGGCTCAGAGCGCGCTAAGAAGCGCCACCAAGAAGTGGCTAGAGCCACAGCTTTAGTTTACAATAATAATTGTAAAGGGGCAGCCCGTTACATGGAAATTGTCATTTGAGAGATAATGACAATAAAGAATATTATGTTGAATATTTTTTGAACAGTATCACCGATTATGGTGATATTGATGGGTCGACCAAAGAGTCTGCTCATTGGTTGATATCGTGATGATATCAACCCACCAATCGCCGCAAGACGTGCGCAATGAGTGGTGACGAGACGTCATCATACATTCAGTTATATTAACATAATTGAATTAAGTCAAACGAAGAGACAGTGGTTAAAAGACTTAATCATATTAATATAACAGTTTTACTTTTTCCTTATCCTACGCTTCCTCGTTCGCCCCGTGTACGTCTGTCGGGGCACCCAAAACCCTTGCGTTAAGTTCACGCAAGGGTGTGCCCCGATACACCTGGCAGCACTTTGTAGTCCTTCCGAGGACCACAACTTCTAACATGAACATGTTGGATGATGAAGAGACCTTTCACGACACGCGTGAAGGGTTTACCCATTTGAGTGACATCGAATGGGGTGCGGTAGAACGAATGAGTTTTACCGTAGGCGAGTTCGCCATTAGCGCCATATTGGAGTCTCTAGACAGAGACCAACAACATGCCGCTATAGCCAAGTTCATCCAAAATGAACTTGTCGCCGAAAGGGAGAAAGTAGCCTTGCTTCACCAGCAAGGCTCTCAACAGGCCGAGAAGTTGAGAGAACTCGGTGATCAACAGACAGAGCTGTTGAGACAGCAGCAATTACATGCTGCTGTGAGCGGGACGGCACATGCGCGTCGTCCCGAGGTCATGAAGGTTGACATCTCCAAGTACAGTGGAGTCCAGGAGGACTCCCTGTTACTATGGTTTGTCGAACTCGACATAGCCTTAAGGGCTCGTCGCGTCGAAGATGAGCAAATGAAACTCACATTTGCTCAGACCCACTTGGCAGGGCGTGCCAAAACTTGGTCCCTGGGACTCGAGAGTAGCGACCCACATGTGTTTACGTTGCTAGATGACTTCAAGTCCCGGCTCAGACAAACGTTTGAGCCGCCACGAGCTGAGTTCAGGGCTCGTTCTGAGCTCCTGCAACTCAAGCAGGGTAAGCGTGATGTGCACGCTTACGCACAACATATACGACTTCTCGCGAGTAGTATAACTGCCAACCCAGTTCATGAACACACGTTGATTACGGTGTTCATGCAAGGGCTCGCAGAATGGCCCGTCAGGAGCCACCTGTTCCACCTTGAGCTGAATACGCTGGAAGATGCGATATCAGCCGCGGAACAGGAAGACTTCAGCATGAGACAGGCTCATGTTAGCTCAAACTCTTATCTTCCACCAAGACGACAAGAGATCGGAGGTCTATCATTAATGGACCTCTGCTATGTTGAGAGCGAGAGACCTCGCTCTTCAAACAACAAGCGATTGCAGAGGTGCAATCGCTGTCAGAATTTAGGACACTACGCATACGAGTGTAGTGCTCCACGCCCAGTTCCAAGCAGTACTAAGCGAAATGGACGACCATTCGCCAAGAAGGGCAACGGGCGTGGGTCCAGCGCTGTTGCGAAGCCGCAACAGCGAGACGGACCATCAAAAAATGGACGGAATCAGTAGGGGCGGAGCGCCCTACTGATCCTGCATCCTCAAGAGAGATTGCAAATCTCTTGACGAAAGTTGCTCCAGATACACAATCATTGTGTGTCTCTGCACCTGGTGATGACGTTTCGCTCATCACCTTGAAGTTGGAAGCGACAAATGATTTGTCGCTTCGTGCCCTAGTAGACTGTGGGGCGTCGAACAACTTTGTTAGTCGCCAGTCACTAGAGGGTCGTAGGCTCAAGTTCGTTGAGCGCGACAATCCCCTCACGAGGATGACGGTGCGCCTTGCAACAGGCGCATCGATAACCCTTGAGAAACGTGTAGTGGGAATTAACTAAACGTTAGAGGGCGAGCAGTACGATAATGACTTCATGGTACTAGATCTGGATGACAAATTTGATGTCATCCTGGGATTACCTTGGCTCAGAAAGTACGAGCCAAGAGTGAGCTGGCAGCATCGATCCGTGAAGATGCCTGCTGCTTGTTCATCAGATGACCATCTGATAAACATCTTGGAGCGTCCACAAGCGTGTGGATGTTCTGCGAGTGAGTGCGATGGCCTCACTTGCGGTACGGTCGTTAGCACGACTGCACAAGATAACAGTGTAGTTGATCAGTACACTGTGGAGCAAGCTCCCGGCGGCTGTACAGAAGCACATGCTTCGCCGAAGGTCCACCACTCGAATAAGTCGAGTGGACCGGGACATGAATGCATGCCTAGCGGGCAGCATCTTAGACAGAAGAAACCTGTTGCCTCCAAAGGGCAACATGGAAATCCTAGGTCGAATGGAGAGTCGACCGTAGAGGATCGGTCCCTGACTGTGGTTGCACAGCCACAGTCAGAAGACGTCGAGGGAATAAGTCCCCACGTACTTGAGGAAGTAATTCCTCAAGAGTCGCTTGCTGAGGGATTAGGCGCCCAGCAACCTGTAGAAGCAAGTTCCCACGAAGAAAACGAGACGTTGAACGTCTTGGTTAATGACGGATCAAGCGTAGGCGCTTATACGCTTGATCTGATTGTGCCTCCGAAGTTAACTTCGGAGATAACTCAGTTGCCAACGCTAGAACCGAAACGGTTCTTGCGTGATCTGCGTAGTGGCAAAGTCAAGCAGATCTGCATACTCTTCACAGAGGATGAGTATGTGGCCGATATTCGGTCGGCAACAGTATTTACTGAGAACGAACGGGTTCTCAGCAGCTCATCGATGGACGAACGTGTCCTCGATGAGAAGAATCGGATTGAGCGATACACGTCTTAATCCTGGGAGTCACTGCAGGCAAATTCTTTGTATAAGGATTTGATTAAATTCAAGGACGTGTTCCCTGAATCCGTGACATGCGAATTGCATAAGGACAAAAGCACTCGACACGAGATCAAGCTCAAACCAGGCTGGAAGTACTGTGTCATGAAGCAGTGGCCACTGGCTCGTGAACAAGTACTAGCGATCGACAAGTTCTTTGCCGATCGCTTAGCAGCGGGCCATGTGAGGGAATCAACATCCCCTCACAGCTCTCTGACCTTCTGTGTGCGAAAGGCCACAGGAGAATGGCGGATAGTGCACGCGTTCAACAAATTAAATGCTGCAACGGTACCGGATCAGACGCCGAAACCTAGGAAGAAAGTAATCATAGATGGTATGTCAAAGAGTACCATCTTTTCGTCCATGGATCTGATGGATGGGTTCTATCAGATCCTCATGCGTGAACGGGACATTCCGTTCACGGTAGTGAGCACCCCCGGCGGTATGCTGTGGGAGTGGCTAGTGATGCCACAGAAGCTGAGCAATGCCCCTGCAACGTTCAACCGATGTGTTAAAAATCTGTTGACTCCGGTGCGTGATTTTGCACCGAGTTACTTCGACGATGTGTTCGTCCATAGTCGGGCTATGGACGGAAAGACTGACGTTGAAGTTTACAGAACTCACGTTCGTCAGGTTCTTCAACTTATGCGCAAGCATAAGTTGTACGCCAACCTCAAGAAGTGCATATTCGCGGCTAGCGAAATACCACTTCTTGGGTGCATCGTGGGTAAACACGGCGTACGCCCCGATCCCGAGAAGTTCAAGGCGATCACCGACTGGCCAGTGCCAGTCGATGTCAAGGGACTTCGGAAGTTCCTTGGTTTAGCGGCATACTTACACAAGTACTCGCGCAATTACGCCGAGATGACTGTTCATCTTTCTTGCTTGCTCAAAAAAAATGTCAAGTGGTCATGGAACGCTGAGTGCCAGCGTTCCCTTGAGGGTATCAATCAAAGCTTGATGCAGTCGCCGATATTGGCGATTGCAGATCAGGACAGACCATTTCATGTGGTCTGTGACGCCAGCGATTTTGCAATCGGCTGTACGTTAATGCAGTTCGACGCAGATGGCGTGGAGCGCGTCATCTGTTATCAGTCGCGTCAGCTGCAAGCAGCTGAGCGCAATTACCCAGTGCATGACAAGGAACTCCTTGCCATGAAGTATGCACTGGCTAAGTTCCGGGTCTATCTATTGGGACATAGACCGTTCATCGTATATACGGACCATGCGTCATTACGCACGGCCGTAAACAGCCCACACCTCTCGCAGAGAATGGCGAGGTGGCTGTCTTTATTCGCGGAGTATAACTTCTCCGTGGAGTATAAACCAGGACGACTAAACGTCGTCGTTGATGCGCTCTCACGCCGGCCCGATTTCGAGCCGGACGCACAATCCGACAGTGAGGATAAGCCCACTGTTGCGACACTGTCAGTCAGTGTCCCGTCGTCAAGTTTACTTGACGACGTACGAAAAGCATACGCGGAAGATAAGAATCTTCTGCGATTGATGGATCATCTGGTGGATCCATCCAGTAAATCCATGAGGAATTTACCAGCTTTGTTCCGATCTTCGTCGGATCGGCACACAACGCGTAACGGACTGTTATATTATACAGCCGTTGACGGCGACACGCCTCGTGTCGTCGTACCCGCTCATCATGATTTGCGATTTCGCATCATGTATGAGTGTCACGATGCCCCAACAGGCGG